AAAACACAATACCTGTACAGATGTTTCCCTCTGTGGGATCCATGAAGACAAGTTTCTCCAGATACTTCCAGCAGAGAATCCACTGGTAAATAAAATATTCCATTTTACAACTCTTTTAACATTAATAACTGTAGTCCTTCAAGAAATCGAATTACCAAAATTCATCAGTCAAAGGAAAAGTAAAAGGAACAGAAATATTACTTACCTAGAGGGTGTACCTTGGGTTGAATATGTAGGGATGAAGGCAGAAGGATTCCCACCAGTGCACACAATAAATTTAGGCCTCCTCACACAACTTGACTGGAAGCATAAAGTTATAAAATAAAATAAAATAAAAAATAAAAAGATTAGGGATCCGCGCAATAAATGCATAAGTCCAATTAAATAAGACGAACAATAGTATGTTTCCAAATTGATGAATCATCAAAAGCAGTTTACTCACAAACAATGAGGAGGCCTCAATTTTAGAATAGAAGGATGTTCCCGGAATGAGGAAATTTAATAAGCTGTAAGTATCTGTATTGCAAAGCCAACACAAAGCATTATCACCAACTTCCTCGGGTGACACAACAAAAAAGAAACAGGAGATTAGAATGGGAGAAACTTACAAGCAAAGCCAGACAAAATGCCACATAGGTGTCCCAGTAAAGAAACATTTGGCATAACAACTTGGAACACTACCAGCAAGATCCATGCATACCTGAAACAGATTAACGTAATCAATGTCAGATAATTAATAAAATATATGGCGTAATCAATGTCAGATAATTAATAAAATATATGGCGTAATCAATGTCAGATAATTAATAAAATATATGGCAATGTAAAAGAATAAGAATTAAACATGGCATAAGCATGTTACTGCCATTACCATTTAGCAGGTACATTGAAGAGTCCAAACACGCTGCAGGGCAAATAATGTTTGTGTTAGTAGAAGCCAATGCATTCTCCAGGAACAAACGAAAACAGCGAAAACAATTCAAATGTGCATCTATACAGACAACTGCGCACAATTTAGTGCACCCATTGTATGATCACATGAAAAGCTTCTAAATATCTTATTCTTCATTTTATAAAAGATGAATAAAAATTATTCTAGGTAAGAGAAAGACAATACTTGAAATTTTCTCTCTTAAGCTAGACAATAGAAAAGTCAAATAACAACAACAACAAAGCCTTTTCCCACTGAGACAATAGAAAAGTCAAATATGGTTGAAAAATTAAAAGCACTAACCTTCTAGACTGGTGTCCACTCAGACTTGTCTCTATAACAATCATAGAAAACAAGATTCCCGAGAAGCCTATTGCACATTCATCCATGAGGTACTGAGAAGGGTGAATAGGGTTATAGGATACCAAAAGCGCAATCAGAAGATGTAATACTGCATTGCTTATGGCCAATAGAATGATCATGTACAACAAGCGGACAGTTCCCATGATTCTCTCCAACTCAGAACCCAAAGGAACTAATGCCATCATGTTGAACAACACATGCAGCACTGAACCATGGAAGATAATGGAGGTGAAAATCCTGTAGACTGAACAAGAGAACAAAAGGTTGATGACCATTGGATGAAATCAGTTTGCATACAAAAATGGCATATTATTTTTCTATCAGCTGAATAAATCCTACAAATATAACTTTCATAGATTAATTAATTTAAAAGTAGATACTTTTGATAGAGAAACAAAATGTAGTTAAAAATGAGCAGAGATTCTCTATTTGATTTCAAAATGGGCCGGACAAGTGACCCTAAGGTTGTGCTAAAGTCTGACGTTAGGGGGACTAAATTACGGATTGTTAGGTAGGCTTAATATTTAGGTTTACAACAATCATGATCGGAAATACTGTTTTGAAAAGACTACTAAAAGGTTTCTACGTCAGTGTGCAGGGGTCAAATAAGTTAAGCAGCACCGGTGTTAAAGCCACTTGATCAGGAACTATAATTTAAAGTATCCACATTCACGTAACACACTATCTCCAAATGTTAGAAAAATAATGATGATCACAAGACTTGAACAATGTCATTAATATGTTCATTAGTATAAACTATAAAGCCCCAGTGCTTATAAAATCTGTGATCAAATCATATACGAAACTGCACAAAAACTTGAACATAAGTTGGAAGAGTGGACCTAAGGTGTTTTGTGGTGAAGTCAAATTTTAGTTGCATAATAAAAATTGAAGCAATCAGAAAAACAAGAAAACAAAAGACGTTAATTGCAAGGTCCACAAGAGTATCCAGAAGTGAACAATCGAGAATAATAGTTCTAGAATGAGGGACAAGGAAGCGCATGTTTAACCCCGGGAAGGAGGGTGGCAAAGTTCTACTTCTTTCTAATAACTAAAGATTACCACACTGACAATGAAAAAATTTACCTTGGAATCGGGATACAACATCAGAGGGTGAAAAGCACACTTCGTAAAAGGAGTCATATCCAACCAGGAGGCAAACCAAGTAAATAGTCGCGCACACGCCGACCACCGCTGAAGTAAGAAAAGGAATGCTTTCCCACCATTGCCTCAACCTAGTTTGCAGTCCTGCCTATACATACACCCAAACATACAATCAATCTCAAATTCACTATAACCCAAACAAACACACATACAAACCATATTAAACACTAATTTCAGCATAATTCAATTAAACAAAATGTAATTAAAGAAAATTTAGGGTTTCCAAATTTTAAACAGAGTTGATCCAGGTTTCATGATGCTGAAGCTAAACACAACAAACAAAACCGAATCGAAATCAAACATGAAAATATCACTCAGAAAGAAAACTAGAAGTTGAGAAGTTCAAAGCAGCTAAGTTCACTGTTTAACATCTACCTCCTCATTTCGCAGTTAAAAAAAAAAAAAAATCAAAATTCCGGTTTCCATTTCTGCATTTTCTCAGCAACCAAACGGAAGATAGGAGAAACTACTGGAATTTTCTCGGGACAAAAGGGAAAAGAGAGATAGATCGGATATGAGAATTTACCTCGGAAACGATGTTGGGTCTCATTTTTCTTGGTCGCTCTCTCGGTCTTTCTCCGAGTGAGCGTGACTTGGTTTTGAAACAATCGCTTTGTATTTGCGTTGTGCGGGGATCTCGAATTCTCCAATATCCGCGAACCGTCTTTTTCCCCTCGGATCGTTGAATACGGGCGGGTCGGGATCCACAAAACAAATCGGGTTTGAGATTGGGTTTTTTAGGGTAGTGATATTTGTACGCTCATTTTTACTTATTGCATACCTCTTTTAATTATTGGTTTCGGATCAAATGAATTGAAGAAAATAAAAGATAAAAATTAACAAAGGTGTGTAGGAGATAAAAACGAGTGTGTGAATATTACTATTCTTTTTCCTTTTTTTTTTGTGATTGGATTTGCAGTGGTGATTATGAGCTGATACGAAAACCAAACTTTAGAATTTCTCCAACTCACCATAGACAGGTGCAGTATCTATCCAATAATATGATATCATCAAAGTTCTAAAACACGTTAGACACTAGTCTGGTGATGGCATGGGCCTAGTGCTTAGGTGGCTAGGAGGATATCGTATAAATAAGTGTCTACTTATACTTTAAAAATACATAATTTCATTAGGATAAAAAATTGCAAAATAAGATAACATATAAATGATAAAGTAATAGAACATAATGAAAACATGGAAGAACTTGCATATAATATGTGTTCATCTAAGTATTTAACAAGTCTCTTACAATTTATTATAAAAAATAAAACACAAAATGAAAATTATCTACTTTTTGTCTAAGTGAAAGTCGCGACCTAGGCCGAGGTGCTTAGGCAGGAATGAACGGGCAAGGCAGGAGCTTAGGCGGGCGCCAAAGCAGGTCCATGTGTCCATTCTTATTTTTCAAACGCGTAAAGATTAATGGGGGCGGTGACCAGCCACCTAAAGTTTAATCGGAGCCTAAGCGAGGTCTAGACGACATTAGGCGGAGGTTTTTAGAACAGTAGATATCACATGCCCCACTAAAGCACATGATTTAACGTTTAAAAGAAGAAAATACAGAAAAATAATGACTTATTATATTAACACCCCACAAATTGTTAAATAAACCTCACATATTTAATACACTTCATATTTGCTTTTTCAATTAAAAATTATCTTAATACACTCTACATATTTTCCCATAATACCCTCATACCCTACATTCTTAATATACACTTTATATTTTCTACATATTACATTTTCTACATGCATCTCATATTTTTTATACACCCCACATTTCTCAAATCTTATAAAGCTTTTAATTTGGACAAAAAATGCCGACTGGAATTTTGACAAAATATGTTCTTTGGGATTTAAAACATATGTGAGTTGTTTTTAATTCCACCATTAAAATCCATGTCGTCTGTTTTTAATATCTAGTTGTAATTTTAGGTGTTTAATTCTTCATGTAATCTCTGTGATTTCTAAAAAATAAATACGAACATAGAAGCTTGAAAATGAATCAAAAGCAGGATTAAATAATTATCGATGTCGTCAAAATCACTAAAACAATAAAAAAAATATGAAGTCTTACCTCATGTGAAGCTTCCGAAACATCGACATCGTGTTTCATTCGCCAAAAACAAATTTTCTCAATCAACATGTTTGTAGTTTCATTGATTAGGGTTTTGTTAAACAATAGATGGTATGCTGGATTTTGATAGTTGAAGAAGATAAATAATATGTTAAAAGTGATTTGGGGTATATAATGAGATTTTTGGAGTGCTAATAACAGTTCACTTTTTTTTTTAAAGGAAAACTAATGAAAAGAGATTGAAAACTTTGAGTTTTAATGAAAATGATAAAAATGTGTTGTAAGTGAATACTACAAAGATTGAATTCTTAGGATAAAAATATGGTTTTTCGTTAAAATGAATAATATCAGGAGCTTTTCTTTAAAAATCTTTTTTTTAAACCTAGTAAAGTTAAAATTGTCATTGCATAGTATGATAAATAAGTTATTTAATATTAAATTTTAATGTAGAGTGTTAATACAAAAACTAAAATAATTAAAAAATAAACTCGACAACTGTTGCATCTCCGAACCTTTTGCACTGCGCCGTTCTTTTTGCTCAGCGATTCAGCACGCCCCTCCGGCGCCGTTTTCTGGTCATCCGCAAGTTCTCTCACACCCGCCCGAAACTCCAACATCCAGGTCAGTGTTCATCCCTTATCCATCTCTGCAACTTCCCGTCCCTTATAGCTTATCGTTCTCATCACATCTACTACTGACTATCAAATTCAGTTTGTGTGTCACTTCTTAATTCTTCGTTCTGTTATTCTTTTAATAAGAATTAGGATTGAATTTTTTGTTGGGTTTGTGAATTGAAATTTGAAATTTTGAATCACAAAATTTGGTATAAAGGCGATTAATTTACTTCTTTTATTTCTCTTGCTATTTTTTTCTCTCATTTTTGTAAATTTATTTGTAGAAACATATGGGTTTAGTCCCAATACTTACATTAATTTATGTAATATTGGGAAGAAGAAAAATTGAAGTCCTGTCAAATAAAGTTAAATTTTTTTAATCTAATCTGTAGATACAACAACAAGCTTTATTCCACTAGGAGGTGTCGCCTATATGAATTTTACAACGCCACTGCACTTCGTTATGTATCAATATATTTCATCCTCAAAAGGAATTTATGTATGCATTCGTTTTCATCTTCTTGTTCTTCTGTTCTTGTTTTTAATTTTGACGACATATTAGTTTATGTTCGATTTTGAAATCTTTAAATGTTTTTTTTTTTTTCTGTTTCTGTTTGTTCTATTACTTGCCATGTTTTCAGATAAGTTGGAGTTGTAGACTGTGTTTGTCAGAGTAGATCGGCAGATCGTATTTTGATATGATCATATAGATTTGATATGGTATGGGTTCCCAAGTTCTTTTGAGCAATTTTAAAGGAGAAAAAACATAAGAAGTATCTGCATCAACTAGTTGAGAATTTGGATTTAAGCTAGTTAGTTAGAAGTAAATGGAGTCGTTACCGCTCGATAAGGCTTAGGTTGAATTTTGTTTTGCTATCATCTGAACTGGTATATAGTTGAAATGTAACAAGAACTCACATGCAATCGGCTGTTTTGCTGCACCTGGCAATAGTGAAATGGTTTGGTTAGTCTGGGAAAAGTGTCCCATAATATCACAAATCTACTTTTCAACTCTTTTTGGTCACATAATGTTTCTCATAAGGTGTGATTTCATTCTTTTATGACCCAATTTGCAACAATCAGCTCAATATGTTGATAATTGTTACTATTTCAAGCCAAACTGAAACGGAAAACAATTGAAATTTTGAAAAATATCCGGTTTGTATGGAAGAAGGTGAGCCTTGGCGCAACGAAAGGTTACTACTTTGTGACCAAAAGGTCATGGGTTCGAGTCGTGGAAACAGCCTCTTTGCAAAGCAAGGGGTAAGACTGTGGACGAGTGGGAAGCCTTGTTGGCTTGGGGTCACCCTTTTTATCCGGTTTGTATGGAAATTTAATGATGGTCACTTCTAACATTTGTGCTAATCATGTTTATGTACAGATTCCAACATTTGTTCAAGGTATACTCATTAGTGCTTAATGCTTCAATGGAGTATCTTGTAAGTTTCCCCAAACATTTGTTAACTCTAAATGTTTTTGTCATTGCTATCCTCATTTCAGTTTTTGTATGGTTAGTCTGTTATTTCTTCTATTCGTTTAATGTTCTTTTCTTTCAGGGTTCTGAAAAAAGTACTTCTAGCCAGATTGGGGACCGATCAACCAGTGATGTTGTTGTGAGGATACGCACAGAGGATGGGCGGGATGATCGGCTATATTGTCATTCCCAGATCCTCTTGGAAAAGAGCAAGTATTTCGCTGATCGCCTCTCTGAAAATTGGCCAACATGTCAGATTCTTGACTCACGCAACTGCGTTGACGTATACTGCCAAGAATCAGAATTTGACCACCATGTCAGTGTTCTCCGCCTTTTTTACGTCGCAGTAGATGGCTTAGTTGATAACTTGTGGCATGGTGTAAAAAACGCCATTGGAATTCTCCAGGTGGCTGTCAAGCTTGGATGCCCACAAATCATAACTGCTTGTGTGAACTACTTAGAAGCAGTTCCCTGGGAAGAGTCCGAGGAGGAGGAGATTTTAAAGATCGTACCACGCCTGGGATCACAAGTGGAGCCAATTCTTGCCCGTCTTCTTCCAGTCAATCACTCATCAATTATGGGGATATTTTTGTCAACCATCCGATTTGCCACATCGTCCCCTCCTCCAATCATGAATGATCTCAAGTCTTCTGCCCAGGAGCAGCTTGAGTACATGCTTACTGAAGATGATGATGCCCCGCTCTTAACAGCCGATGATGAAGTCAAATCCGAGGTGAAAGAATGTGTGAATAGACTATTTGGAAGATTTAGTAATCTATTAGAAGCTTTGTTATGTGAAGTAGAATTATCTTCTGATGGAGGGAAGATGCAGTCGTTTCAAACGCTTTTATCAGATCTGTCGTGGGCATGTCAGATATTAACTAAGTTGGAAACTATGAGGGAACTTGTCTGCAATTGGATGGATGCATCGGATAAAATAGTTAACGTTGTAAAGCAAGCAAGGCCGACAGCTGAACTAATTGAGACAAAGCTTAGGATTGTTGAGGTTGCAGCAAAGATTCTAGAGGCAATAGGTTACGGCACTGTCATTTTGCCAACTGCAAAACGGCTTCATATGGTTAAGGTGTGGCTTCCTTTTGTGAGGGTTGCGAGACCAGTGATCGATTCTGCCACAACTACCGGTGATGACGCTCCTACGCTAAAGATGGATAGTGAACTGTGGCAATCCTTGGAATCCACATTTGTTTCCATAATTCTTACACTTCCATCCGTCGAGCAGGCGGAGATATTGACTGAATGGTTGGAGAATGAACATATTCAATATCCTGACCTGACTGAGGCATTTGAGGTATGGTGTTACAGATCCAAGGTTTCCAAAAGAAGACTATCATTTATATCGGTGAACCATGAGAAAATCGATACACATTAAGTCGTTAACCTCTTCACTTGATCCTTTTCAACCATTTTCGTAGCTACTGATTTCTCGGACACCCTTTCTTAACCAATGTGTTTTGCAAAAGCTTGGGGAGATTGGGGAAAGACCGCGGGAAGTAGATGGAATATTTGAATTAGTAGCTCGAGGGTATCATATGTCATTTTCGGGTCTCATAACTCCGATGCAATATGAGAGCTTCCGCCAACATCTTTGCAGTATCCATCTGTGACTGGCAGGCAACAAAGTTTGATGCTGAGCAGTTCAAATATTTTTCCATCCAAGTCGTTGCAGCTTGAAGCATTCTCTGTGCGCAAGACTCGCTCAACGATCCTGACCCTGTGCTGTGCAGATTTGAGTTATCAGTATGAAGGAAGAAAGAAATTTTCCCCGGCCAATTGTCACTTACCAGTTTATGGTGACAAGTGACGAGAATGCAGAGTTATTAGTTTGAGGAGGAGAAGCAAGATTTTTCTGATGGTACAAGAAATGAGATTGTTTGAGCGACTTTCTCCAACCACTCCTGACCCTTTAAACGCCAGACTTAATTACTGAATATTTGTTCATAACCATCAGAACACCTACAATGCTATAACTTCACAGCTAGCTTTCTCTGAAACACCATATTCCCAAAGCTAATTAGTCTGAAGCCAACGGAAAAGAGAAATTGAATGAAACTATTTAAATTTTGAGATTCATTGTTTTTACACCGCATGATAGTGAGTGAACTAGATATACAGACTTAGTTTGGTCGTACCAAGCCAACTCAAGGCATAGCATGAGGTAATGAAACTATTTAAATTTCAAGATTCATTGTTTTTACGTTGCATGGTAGTGAGTGAACTAGATATACAGACTTAGTCTGATCGTACCAGGTCAGCTCAAGGCATAGCATAATTTAATGAAACTATTTAAATTTCGAGATTCATTGTTTTTACATAGCATGATAGTGAGTGAATTAGATATACATACTCAATCTGATCGTACTAGGTCAACTCAAAGGCATAGCATAATTGCGTAGGTAAGGCGAGACTTCTTTGAGAGTGACCTTACAGGTTGGCAGTGGTTGAGGAGGGTAATACAAGTCAAGGAGAAGGGCGAGCTCCAAACTCATCAATCAGTGTTGCTTTGTAAGCAATTCAAGCTCAGGGAGGCAGGCACAGGCTGCAAGGCCAAATCAATTAAACCAAACTAACCTAACGGCAATCAAATGGGAGGTGAACATCACCATTAATTAAACCAAACTAACCTAACGGCAATCAAATGGGAGGTGAACATCACCATTACCGTCGGGGTTTAGCAAAGTTGAACTCTTTATACTAGCACTTTGTCAGATAAAAAGGAATACAAAATTGGGATTGAGTTCTGTGCTTTTGAATCTTTATCAGTAGTTCATCAAATCTTTTGTCATAACTTGTTATCATGTAATAGGCAAATTGCACAAATGGTGATTAGGATAAATGATTAGAACCAACATCCTTCATTTAACAGTGGATAGATCAGACCACCAGCAAGTCCACTAGTTTGGACAACAAACTGCTCATCAAAAGAGAAACTAAATATCGACTAAACTACGTACCCCAGAGGAAATGGAATCAGAATCCACACTCCAACGATTTTCAGAACAAGACACCGTCAATGATCTTCAAATCTGTATCTGACAGATTCGGATAATTGGAACCTAAACCCTAATCCACTTCTTTCACAACTCTGTTCAGATGATCCCATTCCAGGTCACCGATTTCTACAGTGACTGAATCCTCATTATTTATGTAAGCCAACAACTTCTCCTGAATACTTTCGGGGAAGCTACACTTCTCTCCGAGTAGTCTTATAAATTCTTCAGATCCTTCCACATCTGCTTTCTGTTTCATGTATGTCATACAGGCAGCCACAACATCCCTGTCTGGCGTCCACCGTGACCCCTCAACAACTGAAAGTGCTTTCCTCATCGACTCAACTGTCTTCTCAGTTTGGTCATGATTGAGATAGCCCTTTGCCAGATAGTACCAAGTCTTCGCATCCGGTTTCCCACCCTTCAGCACTATCCTGTTAATAATGGATTCAGCCTTGTCAACTAGGCCTTTTTTGGTATAAGCACTGATCAAGAAATTTGGGATACGAATGTCTGGAGTTAAATTCTTGGATTCCCATTCGTCATAGATCTTCTCGGCACTTTCAATGTCGCCAACCTTCAAGACTGAGGTTATTATACTTATATAACCCCTATTGTATATTTTCAAGTGCTTCTTGTATAGTTCCCACAGTCTCATAACACTATCTTTCTCCCCTAGTGCTGCATATTGTGTCATAAGGTACTCATATGCTCCCCTCTTTCTTTTAGAACTTGGTATCAGTTTCTCAGCCTTCTCTAGCATTGCCAAAGCCTTTTTCACATTTTGTGTTTTCGTATAACCATTTGCTGCATTGGTATAACTATCCCAATCCATATGAACCTCGGGATTGGATTCCCACTCTGCCATAACCTTGTCAATTCCCTCAAGATCAGAAGCAGCTGCACATACATTGAGCTGGATACAATAAGTGTATTTGTCACGACCAATTCCCCTCTCTTCCATTTCACTCATTAGAACATTGAATTTGTCAGTGTTTCCACTCTGATAATACAAATTGAGCAAAATGTTATAGGACAACGGTGTCCTAGCAAACCCCAAATCCCTCATCGTCTGCATAATTTCCTCAGCCTTTTCCACAAGTTTTGCATGAGCAAAGACGTTCAGTAGAGCACAGTAAACATCCCGACCTTTCAACTGTTTTGGAATGTTGTTAAAATAATCCTCAGCTTGTTTTATTCCATGAACTTTTCCAATCAAATCAAGCCTGATGGCAACATCGGGAATCGTAAGCTCAAAGTACCGTTTGTCAGACACCCACATTGATACCTGCAAATAAATAAACAAAATCAAACTTTCAGAAGTTGGGTTGCTACTTGATAACATACTAGACAAGACAATCACTCTCCAGAAATCCAAGTATCAAGATGATGAAACAGATGAAAGCTTGACCATTTGGGGTGGTCTTATTTTGAATTCTAATCATGGCTCTCAGAGTTAACAGTCTAAATGAATATGAGCTCCTTCTAAGAGGGATCCCCTTCCATTCTTGGAGCGAGATAGGACAGTGCCCTTGTATGGGCTGTCTCTTGACCATGTATTGATCATATAGCAACCATATATAATGGGGCTAAAAAGGGCCAAACACTGAACTTTAAACGGCCACTACATGGTCAATACATGGCCTCGAAATGGTGGATATGAGGGCACAATCCTATCCTGCTCCAATAGCAGGATCCCTCTTATACGGTTCCATTTAGGTCAGAAGGCTTCCATTCAACGGCCATATTTCAATATCCTTCGGGTGACATCATCAACGCAATTTATTCCTTCTTTCGTAAGCATTGACCAAAGCCACTCACTCTGGCACTTAATCATTCCCACGTCCCATTTTTACGTGCTTTTCTTTGACCTTAAGATTTTGATGCCTTACATGAAGTGAGTTTTTCGTTATGTGATGTTTTAATTCAATAATATTATGTCGTACCCAGTGCACAAGGCTCCCGCTTTACGCAGGGTCTGGGAGAGGTGAATGTCGGCTAGCCTTACCCCCATTTATGGAGAGGCTGCTCCCAATTCAATAATATTATGTGAAGTAGAAAAAACACGTGATATGTCATTATTGAAACGAGTTGTCAACGTATTTATTTTATGCAAGATGACTTTTTATTTAGTGTATAAAGGACACGTGTGAACCAGAACGACGCATGACAGTAAACTTGTTCAACGTGAGTTGCTTTCCTCAGTATATATTAATGTGACCATGCTCTTGTTTTAATCTTGACCATCCAGTAAATTCAATGGATCGGATTGTACATGCCAAGCTCTAGATCAAACTGTTTTTTTTTTTTTTTGAACAAACGATATTATCTACACTAAGGGGGAGGGGGTGGGCTTATCCTCACAATGGGCTAGCAATAATGTAGTTCAAATTCGTCTTTGGCGAGAATCGAACCTAAGACCTCTCACTCACAAATGAAGAGGAATACTACTAGACCGTAGTAGTAAGTGACAGATCAAACTGTTGTTTGAAGCTCCAACTTAAACTGTTATTCTGGAAGCTGTGGTTATAAATTTAGGTTTAGTGCCTAATAGAAGCCTTGTTCGAAATTAGAGAGTTGGTAAATTAGTAACGACTCTGATTAGTTTGGTCCATGGTCCATGGAATGTTTAATTTAGTTAAACATAACCAAGATAAGCAAAAAAATCAGAGGCCTAGATAGTTCAGTTTAAGGAAAAATTAAACAGATAATTAACAGATAAACTAAACAAAACACATTTACAAGGACAGAAAACCACAAAATTAATTAATCAGAGCAAAGCTTAATTATTCCTTTGTTTACAAAGCATTAGAAAAAGGATCAAAGTGAAGAGAAAAGAGAAAAATAATAATAAAGATGGGAATTTGCTGGGGTTTTCTGGGTGATCATCCAACACCACTAGGCTCTTCTGGGTACAAGTATCTATCTCATCATTTTCTATTTTTCATTTTTCAAACTATGCCCTATAGGTCTATATGCAATCAAACGCTGATAGGAAAACAATTAGGCTACCCTATAGCACAACTTCAATCCATTGACAGTTCAGTTTCGCCGAGTTCAACAGAATAGTTGATAAATTAAGTAAAATCCTGAATGAGAACTCTAATTTATTATACCCTATAACACTTTATTGTGGGACCAAAACAGGGCAAAAACAGAGCTATAAACAGTCACTATATGCATTCAAAAGGAGATAGGAAAACAATTAAGCTACTCAATTAGCACAATTTCCATCCATTGACAATTCAATGCCACCGAGTGCAACAGAATATTCATTAATTTAACTAAAAATTTGAATAAGAACCCTAAATTATTTTCATTTCCACATTTTCCAGGCAACCAAACAGAAAATAGAAAATACTAGTACCTCAAGAGCGTGCTTGTGCTTCTTGTACTGCCTGAGCTCCTTGATGATGGTGACGAGGGCATCTTTGTGTGCGGTTCGGCCTTCTTCGACCCATTTGTCGAGAATCGGCGTAATGGGGGCCGCCGGATCTCCGGAGCGAGAAATCCGACGGTAGAGGGTGTTCAGTGTGCCTCTCCAGGACTCTCTGTAAGGACGGGCATACGTCTCCGTCGAGTAGAGCGAAACGCCCGGTACGTTTCGGAAACCGAAACGAGAGTAGAAATTGAACAGCGACGTCAGGCGAGAGCGGTTCATTTCGGAGAGAGAGGGAGTGGCGGGGTTCAAAGCTGGGCAGAATATGATGAACGCGAGGAGAAACGACGTCGTGTCCACATGAACAACAAGATAAAATTGTAGAAATGAATTTCAATTTTAATTCAATTGGAGTAATGATCACTTAATTAAAAATCCATGATCATTCCTTAACTCATCAAAATATGGTTATTTTCATCAACTTTACTAGAATTCCGTCAAAATGAGTTATGTTAGAAGGACCATTACTACAACTGAATTAAAGTTAAATGATTATTGCTACAATTTTTCTTGTTTGGTTTATCATATTTGTTCCTTGATTTAAGCTTACTTGCGTACGTGACTCATTTTGACATAAATTCTAAAAAAATTGACGAAACGAAAAAGATTATAACTACACGTTTTGATGAATTAAAAGACTAATAAACACAAATTTTTAGTTATATAATTATTACTCTAATTAAATTAAAATTTATAAATTATTGCTACAATTTCTCCTCAACAATAAATAAGCCTAAAGTACTTCGCTTTTCCATTTTCCCTGAATTTATTTATTTACCGATATGCCCGTGAACTTTGAAGTACCGGTGGATGTGAAATACGTACAATAAGAAGGGTAAAACAGTAAACCCAACCCAAACCCTAGTCGACTAAACTATATTAACTCTCTTGAGCGATTCTCCACACCCTTAGCAGCGCCGTTCCTTCGTCTTGAGCGATTCAACACACCCTTTTCCGACGCCGTTTTATCGTCTTCTCCAAGCTCCTGCAGTCACTTCTGAAACTCCAACCTCCAGGTCAGTGTTCATAGCTTTTCTCTGTAATTGCATCTGCCATCGCAATGTATATTTTGTCTTAATTCTTCCTTTATGTTATTCTTTTAATTAGAATTAGGTTTGGATTTTTTTTCATCCTTTCAGTATTTTATACTAATTTTTGTTTGTTTGTCGAAATTTTTGTTTAATTGGAGAAAAATATCGTTGGGTTTGGTCCCTTACACTCGATTTTTATTTTGTTTTTTTTTAATATCGCAATAATTAAGGAACTGTCAATAGTGATTATTTAATCTGATTTACTGGCTTTCATATTTCTGTATATCACTTTTTCGGAGGAAGTTCGATCATCTGAAAGTTACATTGCAGCTCAATTGTTAATGGAAGCTACCAAATGCCATTATTTTTTATACCCTATTTTTGTTGCTCCAACGGAAAGACGGGACACAGAACCGAGCGCAATGGCGTTTTAGGATTCATATAGCTGACCCCACTTAGTGGGAAAAGGCTTTGTTGTTGTTGTTGTATTGAGTTTTGTTGCTCTGTTTTGTGGTGGGTCTTGAATCTTAACTTGTGTTATACTTATTATCTGAAATTCGTAATGCTGTGTAAAGCGGTCTGCCCTCGTGATCTCGTGAGGCTGGCGGGATTTCGCTTTCCATTTTACCTCTTTGGTGGTTGTACTTTGGTTTGTTCTGTTTCTTGTTTTACAAACTAAGATAAGAGGCATAATTTTGCATTGTTGGTTTCCTTTACCCGCTAACTTGTTTCATATATGTTGTATTTCAATATATTTCTCATATAACTCAGCTTGCTTGCTGGCTAGATTGTAGGGTTAATTGACGTTCTGCGTTTTCTAAATTTTTCTTTTCTATGTTGTTTTCTGTGAAGAATGGAAAACACGATCAAGCATGCTATTGTGATCAAGGTTATGGGACGAACTGGATCTCGTGGGCAGGTGACTCAAGTGAGAGTTAAGTTTCTGGATGACCAGAACCGTTTCATCATGAGGAACGTCAAGGGACCAGTCAGGGAGGGGGATATCCTTACCCTGCTCGAGTCAGAGAGGGAGGCAAGAAGGTTGCGGTAATCATCTGAGATGGTCTTGTTTGTCGATGCTCCTATGTCTGAGTTTAGGTTCTTTGCAAACAACTGTTATTTTGTGTCACTGAATGACTATGCTTTTACCATTACTGCGTACTACTAGCGTTACAGACTTTATTTTTGTGATGAGATGTTATGGTTGTTGAGCAACAATTTTAGTTCTTAAAAGTTACAATGTTTTGTTGCTTCGTCGGCGTTGAAATTTGGTATCAAATTTATGCTTCGTCTTCCTTTTGAATAGTGAAAAAGGGATTTGGATCCTCTCCTGAGCTAATGGAGAGGATCCTCCTGACCACTAATCATGGGCAGTTGGATTTTTATCTAACGGCTATAATTATTATAACTTTAAAGAGACCTTCCTGTTTGTAGCCGTTGGATAAAAATCCAACGGCCTATGATTAGTGGTCAGGAGGATCCTCTTCATTAGCTCAGGAGAGGATCCAGGAGAGGATCCAAGTCCGTGAAAAAGAACTTAGCATATGTTCTTTCCCTAGCCATTCAGATTTGCTAATTTTAAAACTTTTTCAAGCTATTTGCAAGAGAATATACGTCATATGATTCTGGTTCTAACACTTGGTGAATGCAAATATCTGGTGAGAAGCGATTCAATCAACAAACAAGAGCCATCGAATCTTGAAGCGTCGGCTGTAACTAAGCATGGTGTTAAGGTTATTGGTAGTATGACGGAGCCTAAGTCGAGTGGGCGAAGGCTTTCTAGTCTCTGCACCACTGTTGGGCGGATTTGATGTGTTATGAGGTCATTAAGCACGCCCTAAATTACTCGGAATAATAGAACACCTACGAACCATGGTTGGAAGCAAATCAGCTACGAACCATGGTTGGAAGCAAATCAGCAACAAAAAGACCCCAAATTTTGATAAAATTCACATGGTCATCCCAATTCTAAAGAGGGTGCTAAGTATCATATTTGCCCCCTAAATTTTTTGGAGTTCTCACATTTTGGTCCTTCAAATAATTTTTTCTTTCCGATTTCGTTACAATCTTTAACAAAACACGTCCGCTGGATTTTCTTGTGTTCGTCGACAAGCGAATGAAGTGCCTATCGATTGGCTCGCTTTGACATTTCTCCGGGTTCGAAAGAGGTTGGTTTGATTAAAGAATGTTACGAGTTTCTAATTTGCTCAAAACCTCAAATTTTACTGCAAAGTTTTCAAATTATATTAATTTACGTTTTTTTGTTTTTGATTATCTAATTTTTATTAAGTTGATAAATTTCTTTTGCCAATTTGGTGCACATGTGGCTTTCGCGTTAATTCATATAGGATTTCACGCATAATATGTCATCAATTTAATAAAAGATTAAACAATTAATCCGATCAATGACATAAAATTAATACAATTTTAATACATGATGTAAATTGAGAAAACTAAATCTTTATCGACCAATTTTTAATTTTTATTTTATATGGAGAATCATGGGTGATGTGAAATAAATTTCATAACGAAGGGTAAAAGAGTAAACCTAACCCAAACCCTAGTTGATTCAGAATCCGAACTATTTCCTTTGTTTCACCTCCTTGCCCTGCGCCGTTCCCTCGTCCCGAGCGATTCAGCACTCCACATCGCGGCGCCATTTTTATTGTCTTCTTCTTCACGCTCTGTCTCTCTCACTCTCTTCTGAAACTCCAACCTCCAGGTCAGTCTTCATCTCTCTCACCCACCACCACTGTAACTTCCCTTCGTCGATTGCTAATGTTTTTTTTTAATTTTTTCTCTTTTACTCTTAACGCTTCGTAGTGTTTCCCATTTATTTAGAATTAAGCTTGCATTTTCAATTTCTGAATTGAAATACGAAATTTAGAATATAAATTTTGGTTTAAGGTGATTAAGCTAGTGATTTATGCCCTTTTTCAATTTTTAATTTTCTTGCGAATTTTATTTATCTGATTTTTTCCACTTGATTTGTATAATTTATGTGTTTAAGAACCCATAATTATTTAATTTGTTCAATATTTGGAACATTTGAGGCAGACAGTGTCCAATAGCGATCAAATTTATGTAATCTCATTTGCTGGGTGAAGGTGTTTTAAATTTAATCAACTAGGGTTTAGAGCTGATTTTCAAACTTTTGTAGCTTGAATTGCTGTTATACAGAAGCCATGGCCACTGCTGATATAGCTGCTCCGGTGCTGGAGCCGACACAGCCGCACTACGACGTGAAGCTCTTCAACCGATGGAGCTTTGATGATGTCCAGGTTTCTGGCTTTTTAATATATGATGAATTTGATAAAGCAAGGCTGAGTTTGGTAAAACTAAGTGCAGCTGGACTTAAGTTCCTGATTGTTTATGTTCAGAGGTACATTAGGTTTCGTGTGGATCATGGTCTAAAATATCCATAATATCTCAATATTTCTATCGAAGTTTCCGTGTTTTTGTACTACCGATATTTCCGATATCATCAATATTTTAGACCTTGCTAAGTCACTCAAGTATATGCATGTATAAAGTGTAAAATATTGTACTAATTCATTATATATAAATGATTATGGTGTGTTTAAACTTCTTTCATTAATTACTACATATTTTCTACACTCACAATGTTTGCCAGCTCGCTATATAATCAACTTAAATCAGTTATATCTATCATGCAATGCATTTCCTTCTAATTTTTTGTGATAAACTAATAGATAATTAAATAAACATCATGCAAAGTTTTAATAAAAATTTCTAAGTTTTTCTTACAATTTCCGTGGTTTTTATTCAATTTTAATCGATATCGATAATATCCCGATATTTCCATCGAAATTTCCGTGTTTTTGGACTATCGATATTTCCGATATCATCGATATTTTATATCTTGGTGTGGATATTAATAATGCTTTAGAGTGGACCTGTAGTGGGTCACCATAGGTTATGTATTCGTTTTGCATTTCCATGTCGGTCGTTGTCTTGGTTTAAAATAAATTTAGATATCTTTATGGCCTACAGTGAAAGTCATAGGCTAAGTTTGTTATTATGATTTTAGCGTGTATTTCTGTAAATTTACAAACAAACAACAACAACAAAGCCTTATCCCACTAAGTGGGGTCGGCTGTATGAATCCTAAAACGTCATTGCGCTCGGTTTAAATATAAACATGTTATACTCTGTGATGTGAAACATTTAGGTCAGTGACATTTGACTTGGTTAATTTGTTTTACTCACATCTACTATTTATACCATGTGATGTGCAACATATAGGTCAGTGACATTTCACTGGCGGATTATGTTGGAGTTGCACCTTCCAAGCATGCGACGTATGTACCTCACACTGCTGGGAGATACTCTGTCAAACGATTCAGGAAAGCTCAGTGCCCTATTGTGGAGAGGCTTACAAACTCACTCATGATGCACGGGAGAAACAATGGAAAGAAACTCATGGCTGTCAGAATTGTTAGGCACGCGATGGAAATTATCCATTTGCTAACAGATCTGAACCCAATCCAAGTTATTGTTGATGCTGTTGTTAACAGGTACCTGGACGGGAATATGTTAATATCTGTCTCATAGTAGTAACATATTTTGCCTTGTAATTACTTGTATTTGTGACACCTTTTTCTAATTCTTCTGTTGTATGTCTTCTTTCTACCGACCAGTGGTCCACGTGAAGATGCAACTCGTATTGGATCTGCTGGAGTTGTTAGGCGTCAGGCTGTGGATATTTCACCTCTGAGACGTGTGAATCAGGCTATCTATCTCCTCACAACCGGCGCTCGTGAGTCTGCTTTCAGGAACGTCAAGACTATTGCAGAGTGTTTGGCCGATGAACTTATTAATGCTGCCAAAGGTTCCTCTAACAGGTACTGACGACTTGTTTCATATGCACGTTGCCTATTACTTGTTATTTTCTCTCCAAACTCTTATTTCTGTGCTTTTTTCATCTGTTTCCCTTGATTCATTGGTTTCTTTCCTGACTATTTGTGCTCCTTTTTGTGCAGTTACGCAATCAAGAAGAAGGATGAGATCGAACGAGTCGCTAAGGCCAACCGTTAAGGAGCTGCCGAAATTTTTTATGACGCGGGAGTTTTGTCTGCGTTTTGTTTATTCGATTGTTGCTTAAGAAGTAGTCGGATTTACCCTTGAGCATGAGAATTGTGTCATTTTTTTTGTTATGAAGATCTCAATTAATCTTGTTGAGTTGAATTTTATTTGAATTATGATACATTTGAATAGTAAATTTTCAAAACCTTAGTAGCTGTTGACAAACAACCCCACTCGGGGTAAGAAGTTGCAAAAACAAGAACATAATTGTATAAAATCTCTTGTGAAAAGTTTAAATTTAAATAATAAAAGTTGGAAAAACACTAAAACCATAGGCTTTTGCAGTATAGAAAGGGAATTTTAACGAAAAGTTTCTGGTACTGTTTACTTAAACGAAAATTCATATTTTTGCACTAAAAAATCAATTCTGGTACTATTCATTTTATCCTTTAATTTGTTATTATCGTTAAAATTCAAAGTTTTCAAGTCTTTTTCATTAGTTTTCCTGTATAAAAAAAAATTAAGTGTGTAAAGAATATGTGTATGGTGTTTTATCATAGTTTGCCGCCATCTCTCTCCTCCCCTTAAAAGTGATTGCTTTCTGTCATTTTGATAAAGCATAATCTGGAAATTAGGATTTTCGATATAGACACTTTAAAAATTTGAAATAAATAAAATAGGCAAATTCACTTTCGGTCCTTACAGTTTAGTTAAAGATCACTTTTGATCTCTATTGTTTCAACTATCTCAATTTTAGTTCATGTAGTTTCTCAAACTATGTAATTGAATGACACATTACATTTTTCATCCAAATTTGAATTTTAATATAAACACTTTAAAAATATAAATAAATAAACTAATAATATAGGCAAAATTTCACTTTCGATCTTTATAGTTTAGTTGAAGTTCACTTTTATTCTCTATGGTTCCAATTGTCTCAATTTTAGTTCATGTAATTTCTCAAACTACGCAATTCAATGAAACGTTACATTTTTTATCCAGTCAATTAACTACTAAACTAGAAAAAGCATGTGTCACTTAGATGCATGGGCATTTTAGTAATTTAATAGCAAATAGATAAAAAAAAAATACAGCGTGTCCTCGAGTTGCATCGTTTGCAAAAGTACAAGGACTAAAATTGATACAATTGAAACCACAGGGACCAAAACCGAAATTCAATAAAAATATAGGGACCAAAAGTGAAATTTGGCCAACAAAATTAGAAGAAAGGTAAACTAGACCCGACCCGAGATCCAAAGCCCTAGCTGATAAAATGACCCTCTTCCTCTCACTCTTAGCCGTTTCCTAGTCTTCAGCGATTCAGCACGCCCTCCCCGGCACCTCTCGCTCACTCGTCTGAAATTCGAACCTCTCGGTCAGTCCTCTTCTCTCTCACCCACCTCCGCCGCTTCCCGTCGTTGATAGCGTAACTTTCGCATAACATCTGTTACTTACTGTGAAACTGGATTTAATTATCATTAGGCTATTCCTTTAATTAGAATTAGATTTGAATTTTTAGTTGGGTATGTTGATTGAAATGCGAAATTAGGGTTCACGGTGCTAAAGTGATTAAGTTAGGGATTTACTGATTTGTATCCTTTTCCCCTTTTATTTTTATTGGAATTTTATTTACATCAGTTTCGTTGCTTGATTAGTAGAAACATATGGGTTAGGGTTCCCATAATTTTTTAAAATTTATTTAAAATTTGAAGCATTTGAGGCACTGTGATTGTTCTGCAATCTCATTTTCTGGTTTTTTGATATTATTGCGAAGTTTGATTATAAGCATATTGCTTTGCAGCTTGGTTTTAATGGCAGCTATTACCAAATATTTTTATAATTTTTTTATTGTACCAACGACTTATCGCGCCAATGCTCAGACTTTCCTAGCTTTAATTGTGTTTATACAGAACCATGGCTGCTGCTGATGTACCTCTTCCTGTAGCCGAACCAACGCAGCCTCACTATGACGTGAAGCTGTTCAACAAGTGGAGCTTTGATGATGTCCAGGTTTCTGGATTTTATTATTTGACTTAGTGAATTATATTTTTCTCTTATCTGTGATGATTTAGATGAAATAAGGTTTCCTTCAACGTGTATGTTTACAGCTACAATAGGCTTAATGTAGGTAGGTTTGAGCTATTATACTCTGTTTTAGAATATACTGATGGTTGGATACTAACTGAGGCAACTTTTATGTTCGTTTTGTTGTTGGGTAGTTGTAAGTAACATGACGGGTTTCTGCCTCAGCCTCAATATATTGATTGGATTTGTTTTTTTAAATGTTTAGAAATGTGTGTGGCCTCCTTGTGGCCGTCTTGTGTTAAATTCACTGTAGGCATCTTTATGTTTGTTTCTTTGTGGGTCGTTGTAAATAACGTGATGGATGTGTGGCTCAAATGTCAATAGATTTATTGGATTTGATCTAGAAATATGCGTGTCCTCCTTGTGGCTGTCATGAGTTAGATTCACTGTATGTCTAACAAAGTAGGCTTAAGTTTATTGCACTTGTTTCGGTGACATGTATGTTGTGTCGTCCTGAATATGCTGATTTTGTTTTTACTGTGATTTTCAAATTTATACTGATAAAGTCAGCATTTATGTATGTTTTGGTTTATTTCATGTGTATCTTACAGCTTGTCCTCGCTATTAAGTGTTTCTATTGATTGATTGGTTTTTTTGCCTCAAGTTGTTTTTTGTTTTGTTTAGACGCTGAAAAGGATTTTGTCGACAAAAGCTTGTTAATTTTATTGTCTTGCATCTTCTAATGTATGGACTAATTTTTTTTATGTGATTCTTCATCACATCTATTTCCCTTATTTATGTGGAATGATAACGTATAATTTTAACATGTAGGTCAGTGACATTTCACTGGCGGATTACATTGGAGTTGCACCTTCCAAGCATGCAACTTATGTACCTCACACTGCTGGGAGATACTCAGTCAAACGATTCAGGAAAGCTCAGTGCCCTATTGTGGAGAGGCTTACAAACTCTCTCATGATGCACGGGAGAAACAATGGAAAGAAACTCATGGCTGTCAGGATTGTTAGGCACGCGATGGAAATTATCCATTTGCTAACTGATCTGAACCCAATCCAAGTTATTGTTGATGCTGTCGTTAACAGGTACGTACGCAAATATGTTAATATCTTTCTCATGGTAATAAGATGTGCTGTGCTTTGTGTAGTCCCTTGTTTGATGCTTGACCAGATGCTCATGTGCCCTTTAGTATAGTTTTTCTGATTACATGTGATTTTTATATCTGTTTGGATTACAATGGATATGACCATTCTTCTTCTTTGAATTCTGTGTGTTTGTATATCCTTGTTTTATTTCTCATGTTGTATGTCTTCTTTGTGCCAATCAGTGGTCCACGTGAAGATGCAACTCGTATTGGATCTGCTGGAGTGGTTAGGCGTCAGGCTGTGGATATCTCACCTCTGAGACGTGTGAATCAGGCTATCTATCTCCTCACAACTGGTGCTCGTGAGTCTGCTTTCAGGAACGTTAAAACTATTGCTGAATGTTTGGCTGATGAACTTATTAATGCTGCCAAAGGTTCCTCTAACAGGTAGTGCGCTTATTTGCCTATTACACTTTATTTTCTCCAAAGCTCTTTCATCTGAGTTTGCTATTTCCGTTTAAGTTATGTTCTTTCCATTGATTCGTTGTTTCTTCGCTGACGATTAGTGGTGTTTTATCTGCAGTTATGCAATCAAGAAGAAGGATGAGATCGAAAGAGTTGCCAAGGCCAACCGTTAAGGGGCTGCGAAGAAGTTTTATGCACCAAGGAGAATTTTGTATGTGTCTTGTTTAATCACTCATTATGTAGAAGTTATCGGACTAAGCTTCAAATGTGAGACATGTCTCTGTCATTTATGTTATGAAACCAGTCTTGGATTGTGTAATTTTATAGCGTTAGATGCGCATGATTTGAATTTTATTAAGATTATGCTTTTTGAACTTTTGATAATCATTTCGCACTTGTAATGGTGGTTACTTGGAGAGTCACCTGGTTCTTTTGGAAGTGTTGCCATGGTGGAAGTGCACTTACCGCTCGGGGCAGGCGCCCACCATGGTACGATGCCCCCTAGACCTGTAAACAGGTCGGGTTTATCGGGTTTGGGTTGGGTTCAATCCGACCCGTTAAGTTAACGGGTTATCCGAACCTGATCCGTTAACAATTATTATTATTATTATTATTATCAATTCGTTAACAATTATTATTATTATTATTATTATTAGGGTAAAAGACTGTTTACTACCCTCATGTTTCATGGTTTTCAACATTTAGTACATCAAGTTTTTTTCGTCTCAGAATCATACTTAAAGTGTAAATTTTGGGACAGTCTCATACATTCGTTAGTCAAACTGTTAAATGTGCCGTTAATTATGACATGGCGCCTATGTGGACAATGATTGGGCGTCACGTGTCAGCCACGTTTTTTTTTTCTTTCTTTTTCTTTCTTCTCTCTTCTTTCTTCTTCTTCTTCTTCCTCCTCCGACTGCAACTTTTTTTTTTCTTCCTCCTTCTCCTTCTTCCTTCCTCCTTCTTCCTTCCCCTTCTTCTCCTTCTTCCTTCTTCTTCCTCCTTCTTCCTTCTTCTTCCTCCTTCTTCCTTATCCTTCCTACTTCTTCCTTCTTCTTCCTCCGAATCTGCCCAGATTCGGCTTTTTTTTTTCTTCTTTTTCTTTTTTCTTCTTCTTCTTCCTCCGACTGCGACTTTTTTTTTTCTTCTTTCTTCTTCTTCCTCCTTCTTTTTCCTTCTTCCTTCCCCTTCTTCTCCTTCTTCCTTCTTCCTTCTTCCTTCTTCATCTTCCTCAAAAAAAAAAAAAAAAAAAACCTTCATCTTCCCCAGATTCGAAGGAAGAAGAAGGAAGCAGGAGAAGAAGGGGAAGGAAGAAGGAAGAAGGAAGGAGGACGGAAGAAGGAGAAGAAGAAGGAAGAAAAAAAAAAAAAAACCAAATCTGGGCAGATTCGGACGAAGAAGAAGAAGAAGAGGAAGGAAGAAGGAGGAAGGAGAAGGAAGGAGGAAGGAGGAAAGACGAGGAAGAAGGAAAAAAAAAAAAAAAAAACTTCCCCAAATTCGGAGGAAGAAGAAGGAGAAGGAGAAGGGAGAAGGAAGGAGGAGGAAGGAGAAGAAGGGGAAGGAAGAAAAAAGAAAAGAAAAGTTGCTGTCGGAGGAAGAAGAAGAAAGAAGAAAAAAGAAAAAAAAAAAAACGTGGTTGACACGTGGCGCCCAGTCATTGTCCACATGAGCGCCACGTCACAATTAACGGCACATTTAACAGTTTGACTAACGGATGTATGAGACTGTCCCAAAATTTACACTTTAGGTATGACTCTGAGACGAAAAAAATTTGATGTACTAAATGTTGAAAACCACGAAACATGAGGGTAGTAAACAGTCTTTTACCCTTATTATTATTATTATTATTATTTGCATAGAGTTTAATTTTTGTTATTAAGACTTTATTAAAATTACTAAAACATCAACTAACGGGTCTAACGGATTGACCCAAAGTGATCCGTTATTTAACGGGTTCATCCGTTAGCGACCCGACCCATTAAGCATCCACTCAAATACTAATATTAACGGGTCGGGTAGAATTAACGGGTTGGGTCCAAAATGCCAAGTCTACCTACCGCCACCCACCGTCCTTTCAGAGGTTGGTAGCGTCGGCAGTGTTGGCGGTATCAGGGGAGTTTTCCAGCTTTTTTAGGTCATGATTAATTCAACTTGATTTTTACATTGTGTAAAAGATTGAAAATGAATAGACGACACCCCTCGTTGATTGGTACATTTCATCGTGACCTGGCTTCCGGGCAAGCACACAGGATTTCACAGAAAATGCCTTAAGTGTTCGTCCTAGGGTTCAAGTACAAGAAAAGAGAGGTAAAATGAAAAAACAAAACAACTCGACGTGCAGCACCACCATCTCTAGTAGCCTTCTGAAGCAAAGTTGTACTCAACCGGTAAGTTGTCGTCGGATAGCGGATAGAAGGAAGTTATTTGCGTATGCCATTGGCTTGACGTCGGGATGTGGCACTGCTGAGAAAGTAAAAATCTGAGCGCAATCTGGTCCTTCGAAACGAATAAACGCACCCTTGTTACCGAACTGATCACAGTAATTCGGAGCAGAAAAAACTGTGACGAGTCTTTCATCATGCTCAAACTCATATCCCTCGCCCTTCAGTTCGTGAGATCGCACAACTAAACTTAAATCGTTATCCTGCAAAAATCGTCTTGTCACGTCGCCACCAAAAGAAACACCTGAACCTCGCTTGCTTGGGCCTCTTCCGGGTGTAGCTTGTGGATCACTCCACAGCAATTCACACATCAACCCTTCCTGCGGAGGTTCACAAAACCTATTTATCTCTCTAATGTCGCTCAATTTCACTCCATCGACACTGAAAAGACCGCCATGCGTTACAAAAACCTTGTCGTTGATTACATGAGCCAGCGGTAAACAGCAAAACGCTTCAGCAAACAACTCCACAAAATTTTCACCTAACTTCGACCGGACCTCGCCCTCAAAACCGTATATCATGTTCATGTTCTTTGTCTCATGGTTTCCTCTTGCGAGATGTATCGCTGATGGACACATGCACTTCAATGCAAACAACGTTAGGACTACCTCCAAAGAAAAAGATCCCCTGTCGACAAAATCTCCGTTGAACAGATACGGATTCTCCTCCGATGGAAGCCCGTTGAGCTCGAAAATATTTACCAGATCATAGAACTGACCATGCACATCGCCACAGACAGTAATGTGATTGCCAGCAGGAACACTTATATCAACCAGGGAGGGCAGGGCTCGCAACAGTTCTTTCGCCTGTGAGATGATTTGGAAAGCTTCTCGCGGGTGCAATGTCTTCTGGTTCTTGAAATCCTCCATCATCTCCCTCACAAAATCCAGAGTAACAACAATATCCCCAGCTTCACCGGCATATAGGTGGTGGTTATTTACTCGACTTTCGTTGCAACTGCCACCGCGCCACCAACATTCCCCCACAGCCGCCATGACTGCCACACCACTATTGTGGCCAACAACTGCAGTCGCTTCTTGTAACGTCAGCATCGTTTGGACAGATTCTTTCTGTTGGAGAATGATAAAATATTTATTCGACCTTCGTCAAATCGTTTGGGATTATATAGTTCTAATCTCCTACATTAATAAGGAAACAATATCCATGGGGATTTAGATTTACTTGTCGATTTAGGATTTTCTCCTACTTACATGAGGAAGTAATATTTAGGTACAGTCGTTGTACTTGCGGATATAGGATTCATTTTTAGGAAAATTAATAAAAAAGCTTCAAAATTTTGAATTTTAACTAGGGGTGGGTTCAAAAAACCGAAAACCGAAAAAAACCGAAAACCAAACCGAACCGAAACCGAAAAAACCGAATCGAACGAAAAAACCGAACCGAATTGAAAAAACCGAACCGAACCGAATTCTTTTGGTTCGGTTCGGTTTTAGTGATCTAGAAACCGAACCGAATTAATTAAATTAATTTTTTTATTTAATTATTTGTTTTGGGTATTATTTTCTAAACCCAATTTGTAAGTTAAAATGTGCTAACCCAATGTGTTGCCAAACTTTAAGCTCAAAATATTTAAAAAATGCCTATAAAAACTCTAAACCCTAACCTATTATTTCTCCCCCATATAAGGTTACAGAACCAAACCTCTTCCCGAAGTACCTACATCCATCTCCATAGCACTGTCTACTTCTGCGCCAGCTTTCTTTTCCAAATCTACTCTCATATAACATGTAACATAATCCATAAACATTTATTTCGGGTAGATTACTTGGGTAATTTGTGATGGAAAAGAATCCAACACACACTAAATAAATCCACTCACGCATTACCTTTACTAATCAAGTTGTCAACATGCAGTTACAAGCAAACAACACTGATCTTTGAACAACATCATACAATTTAACTTTTCTAAGTCATTTGTACGATTTTTGTGTGATTTTTGTGTTGTGAGGTTGTTAGTTTGGATTTTGAAAGACTTTATTGATGATTTTAGTTCAACTTTAAATGTTTATTTTCATTGTCTTTGATTATAGTTAGAATGTTTATTTTATGATTGTGTTGGATATGTTAAAATTTAAAATTTCAATGTTTTTCATTTTTTGAAAAAAAATAAAAACAAAAAACCGAAACCGAACCGGAAAAAACCGAACCGAAAAAAAACCGAACCGAAAAAACCGAAAAAAAATTGAACTGAACCAAACCGAACCGAAATTTCGGTTTGGTTTCGGTTTTGGCAAAAAACCGAACCCACCCCAAATTTTAACCAAAAACCGATCACTAACCTTATTTAATGGTTAGGACAAACCCAATATAAAACTAGCCCAATAAAATTTGTCCAACCCCTGAGTTTCTAATTTTACCCTGACAGCAAACCTAGCTGTGTTTATTTGTTTCGTTTCACTTCATACGAAGAGAGATATAAGCTTTGTACATTTTCTACAGATATCATATTCCTTTTCTCTATGCAATTTTCCCATTTCATCACCCCAGTCGCCGATCTTCTTTTCCGTTAAATCAATGAGATCCCATCTCACTTGATTCTATGGCTCTCCGATTGAACAGGTAATTTTCCCATTTCAAACTAAATCAAGATCCAACTCTTCATTCGCCATGGAAGGGAAGGCCAAGCTTCGGCCTCTTCCAACGCCTTCTCCTTCATGTCGAAAGGGTGGAGGGAAGTGAAGCACTCAGCCGACGCGGATCTTCTATCGATGAAGCACCGGCCAAACGAGTTCAAGAACCTAGCGACGTCGTTCGACTGCGAGCTCGAGAACCTCTTCAAGTTCAACTTCCTGCCGTCGTCGGCGGGGATTCAATCGTTGGCATTGCAATCGACCGAGATAGCCTTCGTCAAAAAGTTGCAGTCCCAAGTCGAATCTTTCTTCCTATATTTTGTGAAATTTGAGTTCAATTTTGTGTTTTTGG